TGAAGGTGAAGGTGAAGGTGAAGGTGAAGGTTGGCAGCCAGGTATTGTTGGTGCCGCCTGACTAAGCATCCAAGGAGGGAAGGCACGACCTGCCATGTACATAGTCGTCGGTCTCTCGAGCATTCCAAGATTTGCAGACCATGAGGATCTCAGAGCCCTTGTATCTCAAGAACATCAGATATGGAAAACAAAAAGGAAGTTTCAAGATCCTAATCATTGCAGACAATCGGTTCTGTGTTGCGCCCGAGGCCTCATTGTTTACCAAAGCTCTTCTGCGATATAGATGCGGCCAATTCACCAATGGAACTATAACCGCCCTGCAGTACGTCGAAAGGAAACTCAGAGCTCGCCATTCTCATCGAGAACGGCTTGCAACAAACCTTCATGCATATAGTTGCCTCAATACTGAATCTGAATACCTCAGTTATTGCACCAGCTGAGGCCAGGTGAACCTGGAGGTCACCGTACTCTCCAGCTCAGGAGAAAACTCCAGCACCATCAAGTTCGAAAATTTTGGACACTTGAAGACATCTGAGTTCAGCCTTCTTTCAAACAAGAGCTGAGTCGCCATCGAGCTCAAGGACCCGTAAACCTAGACAACGTTGTTAAAGTATGCGACGCTAAGCTGTAAAGGGTTAAGCCAAACGCTAAATCCTCCCGTTCTCGGCAGCACCTTCCGAAACAATCGTCAGCGCCGACTTTGGAAAGCGGGGGAGGTCTTGCTCAGCCACACCCCGTTTTCAGCCATGTCAGCCACGACCACCATCAATACATACACCTCCCCGCTGACCTTTGCGCATTTGAACGGCATTTATATTCTCATGTCTGGTTCTGCGGATCGCGACAAGCTGTCGATTCCGTCTGATAATCATGAGCGCGGGAGGGTCATGAAAGAAGGCGCAAAGCCTAGCACAACAACGACGAGCATGGACCAAGAGCAAGCCGCTCAACTAATACAGCGGAACTATCGAGGCTATCGGGAACGAAGGCAGCTTGCGGGGATGGCATTGGATGCAAGCGCTCGATGGTCGGAGGTACGAGAGAGACCCTATTCTGGGAGCAGTCCAAACTGAGTCGTCTTGCCTGTAGGCTATCAAAGAGGGTTAGCCTCTCTATGTTAACATTAGCGCATACAGTCGATACTAAATGTGTCAAGCTCAATGGCGAAATACCACGCAGGCGAGATCTCGCCGAGAAAGAACCCTAAGCGAAGCGACGGACCCTTCAGAGCGCGCTGGAGAAGCTTCAAAGGCTGCTCGACAGAACTGGAAGCGGGTAGGCCTTATCGCGAGGCGGGCGGGCGCGGATGACCCTGACGACACCACGGATGGAGATGAGATAGATTCCGAGGAGAAGAGGGAATATCGTCGGAAGAAGGCGGAAGCCAAAGCCGAGCGCGAGAAGATGGCGAAGGTTATGGACTTGCAATATTTCCTTGAGATGGTCGATTCGAAGCATCGCTATGGCAGTAATCTCCGAGCATATCACGATACTTGGAAGTCATCCGATACCACAGAGAATTTCTTCTATTGGCTTGACCACGGTGCTGGGAGGAATTACGAACACCCAACCGTGTCTCGAGAGCGGTTAGAGAAGGAGCAAGTAAGGTATCTTTCCCGAGAAGAACGCATGAAATATTTGGTCAAAATCGATAAGGAGGGGCGCCTATGTTGGGCGAGGAACGGGGAGCGGATAACGACGAGCTTGGATTACAAGGACAGCGTGGATGGCGTGGTCCCTAGGGATGACCCGACCCCTGCATATGATCTTGGCGGCGCCGTGGACGGTTCAGGCGGTCGGAGAAGTTCCCAATCGTCCTCTGATTCTGCTGATTCCGAGGATGATGTAGAGATTGAAGCGGACCATTATGTCAACCATGACCTGAACAAAGCCAAGGGGCTGTCGAAACTGAAACATGTGTCCGCGGCAACGATACTCAATCATCTGCTCCGAGGTTCGGTAAAGCCGAATTCCTGGATATATGTGAGACCCTCGGGTTGCTCCCTTTTGAGTGTCGCTGACTGACTGCCAGGTTGCCGACACATCTTTCCGAATTTATATCGGAATCAAACAGTCAGGTGCTTTCCAACATTCCTCCTTCCTCCACGGCTCACGGATATCGTCCGCTGGCCTCATCAAAATTAAGGATGGACAGTTGCGGCGCCTCTCTCCTCTTTCGGGCCATTACAGACCTCCGACGAAAAACTTCCGTGCTTTTGTGCACTCCTTAGAGGAACAAGGTGTTGACATGTCCAGAGTGTCCATATCGCGCTCTTACGCGGTCCTTGTAGGACTGGAAGCTTACGTGAAGACGCGGAGAAAGTTCAAGCACGGAGTCCAACATGTAGCTGAGGCGGAAATGAAGATTGTACATCCGGAGGAGTATAAGAGGAAAAAGGACGAGGAGAAGGATAAGAGTAAAAGCGCAAAGAAGGAACGTCAGATTCTCGCGGCGACTGCTGCGAAGGAAGATGCTGTTCATCGGGAGAACAGCTGGCACAGGAAGTTGTGGAGGAAGGTTAGCGGGAAATCGGTGTCGCCAAAAGATGAGCTAGAAAACGCAAAGGTAGAAAAACATAGGGGGAGGTTAACGAAGTCGGGTGAAGGGGCTGAGAGCGGCATTCCTCCTGCAGGTGATCGCGATAATATCAACACCAACTCCACATGAGGACTATGGCCCGACAGGGATTTGGATCGGCTCGTGAGGCCTTTCGTGCCGTTGCTCTAGATCAGGGAGACTACCGTTGAATATGCGGATGGACCGCATAACAGGATCTATGTGCAGATTGAGTAGCGTGGGTTTGGACCATAGTATACTCCACTTCAGAGCCCATCGATAAGACAGATGGGAATTCCAGATGGGATCCAGTCCGAATGTGAGGTGATGGCATCCCCATCTAATCTCATACTGTGGTCGTTGCTACCTTCTCCCGTTCGGACCATGATCATTAGAATGGTAGAGCATTTCAATTGATGAGTGCTTTTGCTCCGGAAGACGATACAGAGTACGAACGGCACCGGTGATGGGCCCTGGAGTAGACTGTGAACCCGCACCCAGGTTACTGTTACGCGCGCAGGCATTGTAGAGTGGGGGTGAGCAAATCCACGCAGGGACCGATGACCGATGCCCGATGACGATAGCTAACCCTCGATCGCCGGACAGCCAAGTGTTGCATGGGCGGAAGGACCATGTACTGTACTGGTACTGCATGTTCAAATTTTGAGGGTTGACGTTATGTTAACTTTCGCGGATCGTGGAAACCAGCAGGGGTTTGAGCCCTGTGGCCCCCCGGTTCTGACTTAGCGCGCCAAGGCAACGGCTCGGGCGCTAGGCGACGTCATCGCGCGTTCATCCCGTTAAACCTTCTTCCAACCTCTTTCTTGCGAGGGGCAGCTGCAGCCACTGCCTCACTACCTGAGACGCCGCTGATGGACTCCCAGATCATGGCGTAACTCGACCTCATTTTTGCCACTTCCTCCTCCGATGAGCAACGTCAGCGAGACAAGGGGATGCGCCTGGACTCCCTATCAACCTCTTGGAATATGGCTAGGGACGCACCCGCCGCTTACCCGCTTGGTCTCCACCTGGGCAGGATATTCTACTGGTACTTGTACTATGTACTGTTATACTGTGTGCCTGCGGTGGCAATCTTTAACGATTTCGAGTTGAACTAATAAGTCTAGCTTACCGTTTGGAAAGCTGTTCAATTTCCATAACCATCATCAGTTCACTCCAACATCGATAATGTTGACAGGGATGCCTTTAGTTGGACTGCCTACGTACTGTGTACTCAGCTCCTCGCCTTCACAGTACACAGTAGACCAACACAGCAAAGTCTGAGGAACAGTGATCATCGATTGGTCCAACATCATGTTACGCCACAGTTGATGCAGCCTCCCGCTCCTGGTAGTAGGTGCCCCGCTCGAGCCTGGTGCAGTGATGTAATCTCATGGGGTGCTTCGCGGCTCGGTTGCACAATGCCCTCATCATCCTCCAAATCAAGTTTCCTCTTACAGCCCTACCAAAGACTGCGGGAGAGGTACCCATTGACTACTGGTTTAACACAGTAGTACGTCGCGAGCGGGTTCAATCCATACGTCATCTGGACGACCCTTCCTCGACAAATCAATTAAGAGCAGCCCCACTGCTGTTCCCTGGACTGATTGAAGCCGATTTATCGTCAACCGATTTATGACAGTTAGCTCTTCCCACTCATACGCTTATTACTCATTCCCCCCAACAGCAAACAGACATTCCCCCCGCTCAATACGATCTAGATCAATATCAAGCACCGCATCAACTACTGACCCACGCACAAACAAAGCCTCCAAACTACCCCTGAAAGACCACCATTCCAACATGCCGTCGCCAGCCGCAGGAAAGGGTGAAACCCCCCGCACCCCTACCAAGCTCGGACGCAAGTCTCAGGCGACCCCTCAAAAGCTGGGCAAAACCCCCAAGGCCCAAGCCTCAGAGGAGAACCCTGATCTGCCACCGCGCGAGGCGCCCAAGGCAGAAGAGGCACCAAAGAATGTTGAGGATACCAAGGAGAAGGCACAAGAAGGTGCTGAGGAGGCCACCGAAAAGGTCTCTGAGACCGGGGAGAGCCTTCAAGAGCAGGAGCCACAGCCGATAGAGGAGCAGAAGAAGGACGAGGAGGAGGAGGAGGGGGAAGGCGAGGATGTTGAAGGTGGAGCCGAAGAAGAGGCCGAGGAGACCGCGGACGAAGGGACCCAGAAGGCCGGAGAAGAAGGCGAGACTGCCGAGGGCACTGAGGAAGAAACATCAGAGACCGCCAGCAAGGCCGCGGACACCGGTAGGCAAAAGGGGGAGGGCGCTCTGAGCGGTGCTCGCGGCCTTGCGGATCGGGCCTCGAGTCTTGCCGGTAAGGGCAAGAAGGCTGCTGAAGACGCAGGAGAGGATGCACAGAAGACTGCTGGCGAAGCTGGCGAGGGAGCCGAAGAGACCGCCGAAGAGGCTGCGGAGGAGGTCAAGGAGGGTGCAGAGGAGGGAACCGGCAAAGTCACAGAATCCATTGAAGAGACAGCGGGCGAGGAGTTGCCACAAGCCCCAGACCTGTCCGTCCTCAAGGGCCTGGAGACGGACGAGGAGGGCATCATTCACGATAGGGAGGGCAAGCCCATTGGCCGCCTTGTTGAAGGTGACGCCGAGGATCTCATTGGTTATGAAATCGGTGATGATGGTGAGATCCTCGATGACGACGGCGACCTCGTTGGTCGCTGCGAGCTCCTCCCTGAAGCTGTTCAGGAGCAGCTCGAAAAGGCAAAGGCCGAGAAGAAGATGCCTGACCTCAGCATCTTGAAGGGCCTTACCGCCGACAAGACTGGGCAGATTCTCAATGACGATGGAGACTTCGTCGGACGACTCGTTGAGGGCGACCCCTCCGAGATCCAAGGCATGGAGTTCAACGAGAGGGGCGAGATTGTTGATGACGACGGCAATGTCATCGCTCGTGCTGAGCTCCATCCTGATGTGGCAGAGGCGCTCGGCAAGGGCGAGGAAGAGGAAGAGGAGGAGGGTGAAGAAGAGGCAGAGGAGGAAGGAGAGCAGGAAGAGGGTGGTCTAGCTGAAGGAGTTACTGGAAAAGCTGCTGAAGCTGGTGAAGCCGTTGAAGGCGCCGAAGAAGTCCCCGGCGAAATCGAAGAGGAGCTCCCTGGCGTCGAAGCCCTTGAAGGCATGGAAGTCAACTCTAAGGGCGAGGTCCTCGACGAACAGGGTGACGTCGTCGGCAAGCTTGCCGAAGGAGACATTGGCGCTGTTAAGGGCCTCACTGTCAACGACAAGGGTGAAGTGGTCGACTCTGAAGGCAATGTTCTTGGCAAGGTTGAACTTGCTGAGGGCGGCGCCGAGAAGTTGAAGGAGGCTGCCGCCCATGCTCTCGACATCCGCATTCTCGAAGGCTTGAAGGTCAATAAGAAGGGCAAGGTGCTGGATGAGGAGGGTGAAGAAATTGGAGAGCTGAAGGAGGGTGACGTCCAGAAATGCGCTGGAAAGAAGATCAATGACAAGGGTGAAGTCCTCGACAAGGATGGCAACATCGTTGGAAAGGTTGAGATCGTCTCTGGTGAGGCTGCCTTCGAAGCCATGAAGGCGCTGAAGGAGCGTCTCGAGGAGGAGAAGCCTGAGGTCAAGGAGGTTGAGATCACCCCTGGCCTGGAGATTCTTGAAGGCCTCAAGGTCAACAAGAAGGGCCAGGTCCTCAACGAAGATGGAGAACCTATCGGCGAGCTCGCAGAGGGCGACGTAGCGGAGTGTGCCGGAAAGAAGATCAACGACAAGGGCGAAGTGCTTGACAAGGATGGCAACGTCATCGGAAAGGTCAAGACTCTGCCTCAGATCATTGAGCAGAAGGTCGGTGAGGCTGAGGAAGCCGGCGAGGAGGCCGCGGAGGAAGCTGGAGAAGAAGTCGAAGAGGAGAACCTCCCACCACTCTCTGTTCTTGAGGGTCTCACCGTCAACAAGGCCGGCAAGCTCATCGATGACAGCGGCACCATTGTCGGTGAACTTATTGAGGGCGACCCTAAGAAGCTCTCCAAGATGGGAGTCACCTGCGACGCTGAGGGTCAGTTCTGGGACAACAAGGGTCATGTCATCGGACGTGCCAAGACTGTTCCTGTGGAGGTCTCAGAAGAAGAAGCTCCATTTGCTGGTCTTGAAGGCCTCATCGTTGTCAAGGATGGCTTTGTTGAAGATGAGAACGGCAACCGTGTCGGCAAGGTCGTTGAGGGTGACGCCAAGAAGCTTGTCGGTCGTGCAGTCGATGAAGATGGAGACATTCTCGACAAGAAAGGCTCTGTTGTCGGTCATGCCGAGCGTTACGAAGAACCTGAAGAAGAAATCGAGGAACCTGAAGCCGTGGATCTGTCTTCGCTCGAAGGTCTAACTGTCAACAAGCAGGGTAACGTTATCGGAAGTGAAGGCGTGCCAGTTGCTCGCCTTGTTGAAGGGAATCCTAAGGAGCTCGCCGGTAAGAAGCTTGATAGTCAAGGTCAGATCTGGAACGACTCCGGAAAGGTCATCGGACGTGTCGAGCTTATCCCGCCTGAGGAGCGCGAGACGAAGCCTGAAGGCCCCTTCTCCGGGTTGGAAGGCCTGCGCGTCATTCAAGACGGACAGGTTGCTGACGAGAACGACAACATTGTCGGGACTGTGGTTGAGGGTAACCCCAAGCGCCTCGTTGGCCTCGCCGTTGATGAGGATGGTGATATCCTTGACAAGTACGGCAACGTTAAGGGCCATGCCGAACCCATCGAGGAAGAGGAAGAAATCCCCGAAGACTTGTCGGTTCTTGACGGCCTCACTCTCAATAAGCAGGGATACCTTGTCGATGATAAAGGTATTCCCATCGGTCGCCTCGTCGAAGGCGATCCAAAGGAACTGGCCGGGCGTAAGTCTGACGGTGAGGGTCTGATCCACAACGACACCGGCAAGGTCGTGGGCCGCTGTGAGCTCATACCTGAGAACCAGCGTGTAACTCGCGAGGAAGGCCCGTTCGCCGGACTGGAGGGTCTCCGCGTGGTTAAAGATGGCTTTGTGGAGGATGCTGAGGGCAACAGGGTTGGCCAGATTACTGAGGGCGATGCCAAGCGCCTGGTAGGCCTCTCGGTTGATGAGGATGGAGACATAATCGACAAATATGGCAATGTCAAGGGCCACGCTGAGCGTTATGAGGAGGAGGAGCCCGAAGAGATTGACCTCAGTGCGCTCGCCGGCTGCACGGTCAACAAAGCTGGGAACGTTGTTAACTCCAGTGGGACTATCCTCGGCCGCGTCGCAGAGGGTGACCTCAAATCCATGATTGGCAAGAAGGTGGACGGAAAAGGCCAGATCTGGGACGACGCTGGCAACGTTATTGGGCGCGCAGAGCTGGTCCACGGTGCCCCGTCCGGACCTGAGGGCGCCTTCGCTGGCTTCGATAACGCTACCGTCGCTAAAGATGGTACGGTTCAGATGCCCGATGGCACCATCGTTGGTCGTGTCATCGAGGGTGATCTCAAGAAACTGGTTGGCCACAAGGTCGATGAAGATGGTGACATCACCGACAAGAACGGCAACACCATCGGAAAGGCTGAACGCTGGGAGCCTGAAGAGAAGGAGCGCCGCATCAACCCCATGGCTGGTTTGCGTGTGAACAAGGATGGTGAGGTCCGCGATCAGAATGGTGATCTCATTGGCCGTCTCACTGCTGGAGACCTTGGCCACTGCGCTGGTCTTGAGATCGATGACAATGGTTACGTTGTTGATAATGACGGCAACAAGGTTGGCGAGGTGACCTTGCTGGAGAACATTGTCGAAGAGGAAGAAGGAGAGACGGAGGAGGAGAAGCAGAAGCGCGAGGATGCTGAGTTGGCCAACAAGATGGCCAATATCTGCCAGCAGACGCTCGAGCGCGTCCAGCCCATCTGCAAGCAGATCACTGAAGTATGCAACTCGTTCCACCCTCCATCTCTCACTCATACTAACGTCAGCGCAGTACATTGAACAAGCCGACCGCACGCCCCGGGATGAACTCGACGAAGAAGAACTGGTCAACAACGTCAAGCCCCTGATCGAAGAAGCCGGCCGCATCCTCCAAGAGTGCAACGGCTCTCTTCGCGGCCTGGATCCGGACGGCCGCATCGCTTCCCAAGCAAAGGGCCGCTCTCAGACCCGCGAAGCCACACCCGAAGAGTATCGCCTCGCGGACGCCCTCAAGGAGATCACCACCACGGTCGTCACCACGATTGACAACGCCAAAAGAAAGATTGCAGATATGCCGCATGCGAAGAAGAAGCTCAACCCGCTCTGGGCCCTGCTCACCGAGCCCCTCTTCCAGATTATCGCTGCTGTTGGCCTGCTCTTGTCCGGTGTTCTGGGCTTGGTGGGTAGATTGCTCAATGGCCTTGGTCTTGGCGGTCTTGTCAATGGGCTTCTGGGTGGACTGGGCATCGAGAAGTTGCTCGGTAGTCTTGGTCTGGGAAGTATCAGCGAGGCACTTGGCGGGAAGAAGGAGAAGAGGAAAGGTGGCGGTGCCAGCGGTTTGCCCATTGTGGGTGGCTTGCTAGGCGGTGGGAAGTAGAGGAGCATAGCTCTTAAGGGGCCGTGCTGAGCGGCGAGGCGGGGGTTGAGAAGGAGTTTTCCTGTTGGCGGCATCAAAATGAAAAGATGGGATGAGGTTCGCCACCCTGTTCGGTCAGGTGGGAGACAGTGTCAACAATGGGCTGGAAGATCGGGGGGTCTGAAGGTCTTCATTATTGACGCTTTTCTGCCTGCTCCGTGACCGGGTCATGAGATGGTGGACGAAACTTTACATCATCGATTGCTTGGAGCGACGACAACGGATACGAATTTTGTTTTGTATGAATTATGGATACGGTGTTATTTGCTTTCATTGTTTTGTCTTTTCCTTTTGGTTTTTCTATGGAGGGAGGAGGATGAGGGAATGATTAATGTGGACGTCTACACAGACAGAGGGATGGCTCTTCAGCCGTAACCCGCTGGGGTATTTCCTTTGTCGCACACCGGGATTGATTCGATAGGTTATCCGGGTATTTGTTCAGTATGTTCTGGATCTATCTGTTGTATGAGTACAGCTTTAGCGATGGCGTGGGTAATAGGATCGAATCTTCATTCATTTGTTTGAGTACTGTGATCGAATTCGAGATGAGTTGAGGTGCGGTTAACCGCAGTGAGAAGCGTGATTGCAGAGAATGGCGACGTGAAGGTCCTATCTGGGCGTGAGGCTAGAAGAACGGTATGGAAGTTAGGGGGTGAGAAGTGTGTGTGGGGGAAATGCATGGCATGTCTTCCCGCGATGCGATTGCTCAACTCTAGGCACAAGTGACTTGACTCTCCTGACAAGAATAATTTGGCGATTCATCGCTCGTGCTGACAGTGCTCGGTGTCATAGGAAGTTGAGAACATTCAAGCTTGGAGCATTCGGTGAAGTCACTTGCTATCAGCGCTGCTAAATCTCGCAGCAGAGATGCAGTATATGTAGAAGGAAGATTTCTGTATACTCTGCACCTAGATGTCCTGCGTGTGTCTAGTATGCCTACGGTATATTATATTTTGTAAGTTTTGGAGCAGGAAGTTATGAAAGCGGAAGCTGTCTGCCTAAGAGCAGTCCTTTGTTGTAGTCAGGTCTAGAAGGCATGTTAAAACCAACACGCTATTGGAAGATTGTAGCCTGAGTCGTAGTTGTGCACGATAACACATGTTATTTGACTAATAACCTGTTGTTACCGTGCTAAAACAACCATCAGATTCTACTTGGGGTTTTACGGTTGTAAAGGTTCCAAAGTCGCATACATATGATTTGCAAGTCCATGACAAACTTCGTAAACAGCGGACTTGGGAAATCGTACCCTAACTCGTCTCTGTTATGGTCATATATCGTGTCACAAACGTGATTCAAGCTTCGAGGGCTTCGTGAGGAATCATAAAATATGACTGTAATACTGAAGTAACTCGGGATGACCTTGAGGTATATAAGAAGCCGCCGCTGCACTGCAACACTGTGACATCAATACTTCTTCATATTATTTTCCAATAACTGACGGTACGATCGAAAACCTTCACTTCGGGAAGGCTAAGAATATACCTGCGAAACTCGAGTCCACTGCCCAAGCGTTAGAGACTGGTCTTTGATTATAATCAATTTCCATCTTCTGGTAAGTACTGAATACGCTTCTTCTATCTCTTGGGGTGGGTGTAGGTATATGTTTTTGAGAACCAAATGCGATAATATGTGTCACGGTTTATATCAGTTGCGCATGGCAATGTTGACTCGTCAGCAGTGTATACCAGGACTTCTCTGAGCAAACATTGCGTTCTCGTCGCTTTGAAGTTTCTCTGCAACTTCCACCATAGTCAGTCACGCCATCAACATGTCAGGAAATAGGCCCAGATTGGTTTAATTCGCTAATGGCGTCCTTTACGTGCCTGAGAACTGACCGTACAAGTTCATGCGAATTGTTTCGCTGAACTTGAAGATGCAAGGGGTCGCGGGAAAGGGTATGCTGTGGAAGGAGAAATCTATAAAGATAAGGCCCCTGTTTACTACCTTCCCTATCTAAAGGGTAAAGCAAAACCCATCGATTCAGGGCTGGAACCTATCTGGGCCGAAGAGAAGGGATATTTTAAAAGACCGCGTTCCTCCTACAAGAATGATCAAATTCGGAGTGACCACGCGACGACAAGTATTACCATGGGAAGGGCACAATTCGCAAACCCAAGCGCTCGTGAAGCAAAGCTGTTTAAGGAAAGCCCGGGTTTTGATCTAAGCCCTCTGGCGTCAGCACCCATGCCAGATGCATATGGCAGACTTTGGGTTCCCATCACTAGGATTTTCTTTCTCAGCCTGGGTTCAATGCACCACCCACTACGCAACAGTAAGGACGGGGCCTTGGGCGGGGCGCTATCGAACGTCATTTTGCAGCTCGCGATATGCTCACCCACTTCGACAGCGTTCCAAAAGAGCGCCTGGTTGTGTACTTCGACGACCCATCCTACAGCGAAGAGGACAAAACTTACATCAGGGGCTGTTCCAGGACGGCGGAGAAGTCCTCGCTCAGAACCTGAACATTTCCGAACAAGGCGGTGAATGGCTGTATCAGTACGCATGGATGCCGAAAGATGCAGGACATGAGCGGAATTTGGTGGTGGCATTTGACGCATCAAGTAATTGCATTCGCCAAATTCTTGCCGATCTCGACTTGCATGACGGCATAAAACCAACGGGAATTTTCTGTATGCCTGCAGATAAAGGCTCAGAGACCGATAGACTTACCACTCGGGTGCAACGGTGGTTGGAGACTCGGTACACGAAGGTTGGGGAAGTCATAGAGCCGGAGCGGTGCGCGTACAAGTTCGGTACGCATTATCTCTATGTTCGAAATGAGATCGCCGGAAGATACCCACGGGGACAGCATTCCTAGGACATCAAAGACGCCATACTGTGGCACGGACTATCGAGTCTAGTCATCATCACCCGGGTAACAAGTGACGAAGGCCACCGAAGTCCCTCATACACCCCTTGGGACCTAATCTATGATACCCTAGGGTATAAGTGTGGACACTGTTGTTTCTCTTTTCAATCAATCTATTATCATAATATCGAGTACTAATGGGTGTGCTTATACGGTTGGACAATGGCTAAGCTTGGGACATGTAATTATTGTGAAATCTTTCCTTGCTTTTTCCTCTCCTCAGAGTCAGTCAACGATAAACTCTATCCTGGGCCTGGAGCCGAAAGAACGTCCAGTTCCTGAAGTTCCTTTGACAGGTGGATTGTGCTTTTGCAGTGTTCAAACTGGCTGCCGGGATATTACAGTTATGTAAAGGGATGGTAGGGTATAGGATTGGGAGAATTGAAAATTCCATTGATTCTGTTCACCACTTTGCATTGCCTCAGGAGAAATAGAATATGATCCCGAGCTCACAGAAACAAGAATGAGGAGTACAGCCGTTACGCGCTTACGAGGTTGCTAATCGATGGCCATGGAGCATGGGCCGATTCAGCAGAGTTAAGGACTTGGTATCACGATCTCCAGACATGAACAGTCAAAACGTCCTCAGAGTCGAGAATTACGCAACCTTCCTCGGCTACGCCTTCCCACCCGCTTTCTTCCATGCTGCAGCCCTCCTGCTACTCCTGTTCGTCGGTTTTCCCTTCCGCTTCCCTCCAAGTTTCAACCCACTATTGCCCTGCTTACTGCTTGCTCTGTGTCCCTCAAAGACAAAGTCTTTCGATTTCGCTGCGCCAGCTTTACCCAGCATAGCGCGAGCGCGGCCTCGGTTCGTCCTCTGTTCCTCTGTGACCTTAGCGTTGTATACGCCGTTCGACTTGGGACCTTTCGCCGATTGGGCGGGCTTCTTTTCCTTTCGCTTAATGGCCTTCGCGCGCACCACGCGCAACTTGCGCGGCAGCAATGGTGGAAATTTCTGATCGTTGAACTGCAGCGCGGCCTCAACACTATTCTCGTCCTCGAATTGGACGTACGCAAAGCCTTTGCCGACACGGGTCTTGGCATCTCGTACAACGCGGACGCTTTCCACTTTGCCCGCTTTGCTGAAGTGTACCCATAGTCCCTCTTCAACGTCGCTCGGGGGTTTGTTTTTCTTCTTTTTATCACCTTCATCAGGATTTATCTTGCTTTCGTCGTCAACAAACCCGAGGTTACCGACGAAAACGCAGCGGCGATGATCTGTCTTAGCTGGGTGGGCAACGGAGTCAACACGAAGGTGGCGGTTCAGCACTATGGTCCCGTTCAGCCTCTTGACAGCTTCGCGAGCGGCTAACTGCGTGGAATAAACAGCGTATGCGTTCGTGCTCTTCGTGGTGGCATCCAGAATCTCTTTCTTGGCATATGCGGCTTTCTTCGGAAGAGCGCTCGCGAATGCGGTCGACCGGAACCGCAGAGACTCTACTTTGTGTGGAGGCTTGTTGTCTGCCAGATCATCGATAAAGGAAGAGAGATGGCGCATCAGCGTCTTCTTGGCCGACTTGGACGTGATTGCCTCGCTGGATACATTGCCCAGGAACACAGTACGAGCCGCCTTCTCAAGCTCCTGCATATCATCTGAGCCCATCTGGGTTTCGTGTTTTGGGATAGTATAACCTTCCTCCTCAGAATCCTCCTCACTGGCGCCATCACTTTCTTCCTGCGTTCCTTCGGTTTTCCGTTTCTTCTTGCGTTTCTCCTCCTCTTTGGCCTCTTCGCGGGCCAACTTCTGCATGTACACATCCTCCAGTTCCTCCTCCTTCGTAGAACGCTTCCGCTTCTTATTGGACTGGTTTTGCTCTCCAGTGAGCAAAGACTCCCGCACCTTGGCTAGAACCAACTCATTATCCGACTCAATGTCCTCAGGCTCCGATTCGTCCCCGCCCACGTCGCTGGAGGCCATGCTTGATTCAGCAGTCGCGTCTGCACCATCGCCATCTATGTTATCATCTACATCAGATGATTCTGAGTCCTCTTCTTCCTCATCATCCTCCCCGCTCTCAGCCGCGTCTTCGTCGTCCTGTCCTTCGGTTGCTTGTTCCACGTTGCGCTTCGTCGAAAGATCTTGGTACCGAGACTTTGGGGGTGGCTTCACTGGTCCAAGCTGGAGACTGCGTCAGCGGTTTGACTGCCCTAACAGCTTCGCATGCTACGTACACTGCTTGCAAACAGCGAGGAAAGATTGCTGTCCAATGCGTTTGCGTCAACAGGGATAAAGGAGTTCGTCGAGGCCTTTTGTGTGGCTGCCTTATCGCCGCGTTTGCTCGTTGATTTACCCATGATCCGACTACACGTTTTCCTACTCTTGCGCGGCGTGTGCAGGAAGTTTTTGGTTGAGCATCCAGAAAACAATCTCGGCTTTTCCTGATACGGTTTGGCAGCACCTTCGGAAAAACAGAAACTCCGTCAGCGCGCGAATCCCTGCTAACCGGGTCATCCGGCAATGGCCATTCAACAGTGCGCCGCCCGCCAGCCCGCCGACGAGCATACACATCTTTCGCACGCTTGCCTCTGTACCTTGGTCCACCGCTGCGCATGGTAGCTGCGCCTTGACTCGCCACACGCTTGCCTGCAGTTACCACGCGAAGCTCAGCACTTCTCCCGACAACGGAGGGACCTTCGACCTTGGGCTCCGCTCGAGCGCAGCACCATGAGCGCGCTGCGGCGGGCGAGGAGGAGCATGTCGAGAACGGCTCCCGAGACGAGCGCCCAGGCTTCAGAAATCACCGGTAAGCCATTTCCTGGATTAGATTTCATCTTGCGGCGCCCAGTTCGTTCTAGTTCATCACTTGAGAGATGCTTGTATCGCTTTTTCCGGCGACGCCGAGGAGCTCTCACAGCGACGAGGGCTTTGGCAGTGCCTGAGCAGAGCAAAGCTTCCTGACATCACAGCACCAGCCCAGCGTCAGGGACTAACACCATCTCCGTGCAGGTAACAACTCCAAATCTACCATTGAGACCCCGCTCCGTCGCTCCCCATCGCCCGTCTCTCCCATCTCGCCATCCCGCCGACCTTCTCTCTCCGCCAACTTCGCGACCATCCCGAATGAACCGACCGACGCAGCCGATACATTATACCTTGATGATGCGGAAAGTGAGACGGTGAGGGCAGCAACCATGTTGTCCTCTATCCCCTCTTCCCATCCAGTGGCTCTGCCCACAGCGGTGGGTGAGCCAGCAATGACAACTGGCGCTGTACTCGAACACCACGGAGAAGATGGCTCTAGCAGCTTGAGTGAACTGGGAGATGCTTCCGATGATCACTCTGTGCCCACTCCTCGAGCTCCTCCCGTTGAAGATTTGAGCGAAGATGACTCGGAAGCGGAAACCGAACGCTTAGACAACACCCCTCGACGACTGAACCGCACCGCAACGGGTGCTTCGCTTGCGTCGGAGCTGCCATATGAACGTACCCCGAGTAAGTTGGCCCAATCGACCGCTATCGACGAAGGCGAATCCACTCCCGCCTCACCGACTGTCGCCATGGAACCAGCGGGGTCCGGCTCGGCAAATACAGCCCTCGATACACTCTCGTTTCTTGCTGCTACCGAAGCTGTTAGCTTAGAGTTGGCAGGAAAAAAGCGGAAGCGATCCAGCGGTGAGGATGGTACCGCCGAAGAAGATACAGGCGAGCTGTCCAGGAAGCGGAGTAACACCAGCAAAGAAATGGGCTTCGTCGAAGACGCGGAAGCGACTGCTGACGCCGAACAAGCCGACGTCGACGAGGAGTTGGACAATGCCGAAGAGCACATCTCTGAGCTTGCGCAAGAAAGCATGGAGCTTGAGGAGCAACAAGCTGAGGTAGCAGCTGAGGCTGTCAGTGAGTTAGCAACTGTTGCTAAGCTGGGAAAATCCCGGAAAGGTCGGGGAAGAGGAAAGCGCAAGCTAGAGGCATTGACTACAGAGGCCATTCTGGCTGAAGCAGAAGAGGCACCTGGCGATGCGGATAACGACGAGGATATGTCGTCTCTTGATGAAGAAGGTATCCGTCCCTTTGAACTGTCAAGTGCATGCGCAGGAAACTGACCTTTGCAATGCAGCTGCGAGGAAGAAGAACGCGATCGATGAGCTCGCTAAGATAGAGAAGAAGTTCAAAATATTCCGAGCAAAGTGAGTCTTCAGAAGATGGCCTCTGCGCATCGCCTCTAATATTAGCTAGGATGGTCGAAGAAGACATCGCTCGCTGCGAACTGGAGCTAGAGATGATGAAACAGCCGCACTGCATCCACCCTGATTATCTGGCCTGCATACGAGGCATAGACGAGCGAAGAGCGGAGAAAATCGCTCAGGAGAGAACGTTGATGAAGTACAAGATGGAATGCTTGAAGCGACAGACGATTGCGATTCGGCATCAGCTCCACAGTCAATATTTCCAGCAGGTTCGGAAGATTCGTGAAGATGCAATTGCGGACTGCAACCATCGGATGTATGAACTTCAGAAAGGACGTCGACAGTTTGGAGCCGACGAGGTTGACTACGGAATGCGGATGCCCGAAAAGAAATCGGAGCGGATTCGACAACAAGCTGCATACAATCTGGAGGTTTCCGTTCTCGCTGGTGTTGGAAAGCATGTAGGCTTTCCTTGCGCGCCTGCGCTCACTCCTGCGCGCCCCTCGGAGGTGGAGAGAGATTTACGCAAAATGGAGGTAAGCTGTTGCGCCTGCTTCTCCTTGGTGACCTGAGCACTCAGACTATTTTGTACAGATTATAACTCGCCCTCCTCCTCATCCCATACCCTTGGTACGGTCATATGCACGTACGGCAACAGTAGAGGAGGCCGCAGCCGAAGAACAGTTCATCGAGAAGACACCGTGGGCGAACCCACACCATCCGATCCATCAGCATCTCGCCATGGGTTCCACGCGAACACCGAATCAGACATATCAGACTCCTGTTGGGCAGCGGCGTATGGTTGACATTCACGCCCCGAATGGCTCAGCTTCTACGATTGATGCTACATCCAATCCCCCGTCTTCAACGGCCGGTGCCGGGCTCCATAACGGCCGCGCAGGCGAGTCGATATCACCGGTCTTACAGATGAAGCGAAATCCTGGGGAACAACTCCAGTACGGAGACAATACCGCAAGTGCTCCTCACCCTCGGAACTTTGTTGGCATCACAAGGGAAGCTTACGGTGGTAATGCTCATGTTCTCTCCAGTCCGGCAGGAGAGCCCATGATGGAAGAGTCTTACGGCCAGAGGTGGGCAGCCATAAATTCTGGCCCTCCACCACTGCCGCCCAATGCTGTTCGAGGCCCACCGCTGACTCAACGAAGCTCCCTTGGTGCTGTGACACCTGCGCTGGCTGGCCGCTGATAAACTCTTGTCGCTTTCCACGATATCCCGTCCGCATACCCCTTCCCGGTTCTTCCTTTGATACAGGACGCCTTCATTTTTAGACTTACTTCCTCTCTGGATACCCTCATCATCGATTCTCAATTGGTTTTATGTTCTTGCCGTTTCCCGATATCTGCGTCCAAGGTGGATCTTCTGTGGACAGGCATAATCTGGCGGGGGCGATTTCCTCCGCTATTGTACGGGTTTCCGGCGGCATGGCGGTATGATAATCATTATGGGGGCGTTCGCGGATCATAGGCTCCGCCGGCGTTTCGAGATGCAACATGTTAGTAGTCTTACCTGGAGTGTCAGGTGTTCGCTGGGACATAACATGCAGAGTTGGCGCTGTCATCTGGCACATGTATTTATGATTGGATTGGATGATAGGTCACGTACCTACGATGGCTACAACGTATTCATACTCAACAACAGCCTGTCTTTAACATGCTGACTCTAAGTGACCTTCTTTGGGCTGCATCGTGATCTTCCGTGTGAACTGAACGTCCCCTGTCTGGACATCCAGTAATGAAACGTACGACTGGCGTTAGAAGCAGTGACGTGGAAATCGTAGCATGCCCAAAGTAACATACTGTTTCGTATGTGTTGAAGTATGTGTGCCCCTGGCCGGAGGAGAGATACATAGTACATGCAGGGCTGAGGTTATTTTAAGACCGTGCAGGTCGCCGGTTTAGGGAAAGCGTGCCGCGCCACTAACTGCTCCCGTAACTCAATGCCAGACATCCGCCTTCAGCTATCTACCATCTTTCCTCCCCTTCCAGGCATCTACGCAACCGTCAGGCTATTCCACACTTTTCCTGGGACCTCCACAACTTGCACCATTTCCCTGCTGTACCTTTGACGCCTCAGCCGCGTGCCGCATCCGTGTCAGGACCGCCAAGCTTGGGGCCTTCGCCTCTCGCGTCGAGGCTGTGAAGCTCGAAGCAGCCAGCTGTCAGAAATCATATCGCCCTACCACCCGCTCCTCGCAACGCTTTTCGACCTCTCCTATGCATCATGAAATTTGCTAAGGGCATACTGCTGCCCGCCCTGCTGGCATTGGCGTCTACGGCTTTTGGGAAGAAAGACGAGCCCGTCGTAGAAGTGAGGACATTCGACAACGAGCTTGTAAATCTATTCTATTTCGAGGACTCGGAAGTCGCACTAGCCACCGAGTTTGAGACCGGAGTGGTTCACCGAACCGAAGATGCTGGGAAGGAGTGGGTGAAGCTGGACTTTGAGGCGGGGGTGATTATCAAGAATCCTTTTGACAAGCAGGTCGCCGTAGCGTTTGGAAACACAAAACACTATATTACATACGATCGCGGGAAATCATGGCGCGAGTTTACCACCAAATACCGACCCTCATGGTCAATACCTGTGAGCTTTCATGCGACGGACAATAAGAAGTTACTCTATCATGGGGAGGAGGACATCATGAGTGGTATCGGCGCGGTAAGCATGTTCGGAAGAGCTGTACCTGCCTAAACGGAATGAACTAACTCATAGCTAGACGTATTATACTGAAGACGGCTTCAAGTCCAAGCCGAAACTCCTCCGCGACGACCGCAGAATGTGTATATGGGCAAAGGGCACAGATCGCTTCTTGCTCGATAACGACAAGAGCGACAAATACGACAATCGCGTACTCTGTATAACAACAGGGAAATTCTCGCACCGCTCTAAAGACTTCAGATTGCTCATTTCCGACAAATATTTCGATGATGGGGACGAGCATGAGCCCGTCATGTCTTCTGGTCGCACTGTGTCGGGAATGGCCAACATGGCTTCGGTCAAAGGCTACATAGTGGCCGCGGCAAAGTCAGATCATTCGAACGAACTGGCCCTCTATGTTACAGACGACACCGATGTGTGGCACAGGGCTGAGTTTGGCGAAGGCAAGATTGAAGAGAACGCGTATACAATCCTGGAATCCACAAACTATAGCATACAAGTGGATGTCATGACGTCAAGCCATGCTTATATCGGTTCCCTCTACACCAGCAATTCCAATGGAACTTATTTCACTAAGAACGTGGAAAATACGAACCGCAACCAGGACGGATACGTTGACTTCGAAAAGATATCCAATATCCAAGGCATTGTTATGGTAAACCTTGTAGACAACGCAGATGAAGTCAAGAACCCTTTGACACCGAAGAAGCTGCGCTCAGCGATCAGTTTTGACGACGGAAGAACGTTTCAGAGCCTCAAGGTCAAAGGCAGTGATAAGGACCTCCACTTGCACTCCGTCACCAATCTACGCAATAGCGGCCGAGTCTTCTCCACTCCTGCCCCCGGCGTGGTCATGGGTGTGGGCAATACGGGAAAGCACTTGGGCAAGTACGAAGACGGCGATCTTTGGGTGTCCGATGACGCAGGTGTTACCTGGCAGCTGGCTTTGGAGTCAGCACACATATATGAATTCGGTAATCAGGGCTCCGTGTTGGTTGCGGTGTACGATGAAGGCGAGACCGACAAGATAATGTATTCGCTCAAGCATGGTCGCGAGGACTCGTGGAAGAAGATCGAACTCGACTTCAAGATTCGCGCGCGCGAGCTTACTACTACTCCCGACTCGACCAGCCTCAAATTCATTCTCTACGGAACCAGGGCAAAGAAGGGCGGAGGCAGGGAGTTCGTGACAGTCCATCTTGACTTTGCGGGTTTACATGAAGATAAGTGCAAAGACAAAGATTTTGAAGAGTGGGCGGCTCGCGTAGACAAGGACGGCAAACCAACTTGCGTTATGGGCCACAAGCAGTTCTTCCGAAGAAGGAAGTGGGATGCTGACTGCTTCGTGGATGAGGACTTCCAAGAGCCGCTTCCTCGATTCGAGCCCTGTGACTGTGATGAGGTTCTTGACTACGAATGCGATTTTAACTTCACCCCGCATGGATCAGGCAAAGACAAGGAGTGCAAGCCATCTGCAGCTCTGCAGCTTCCAAAAGGCGCATGCAAAGGTGACGAGAAGACATACAAAGGCCCATCCGGTTGGAGGAAGATTCCTGGTAACCAGTGCAAGGGCAAAACGAAGAAAGATGAGGAGGTGGAGCGCGACTGCAAAGAAAGCTCCAAACCCCCGGCGAGTGGCAAGATCACGCATGCGAAGGAAACGTTCAAGGGTTCCAATTTCCGGGAATATTATTATCTCGAGCGCGGTTCGCAAAGCAAAGACAGCGACGAGACCGTGGTCATGCTCACGAGCGAACGAGAGGCATGGGTTACTCACGACCATGGGAAGAAATGGAAGCGAGCTGTTGATGACGACATCGTAGCCATCTACCCTCACCAGTACAATAACGACTACGTTTACCTCCTTACGGGTACGGAGAAGGTTTACTACTCCAAAGATCGATTGATGCGGGACAGCACGCACGACTTCAAAGCTCCGCATATGCCGAACACCCAAATGCTGCAGATCATGCAATTCCACTCTGGAAGTGAGGAATCAGACTGGCTGATATGGGTCGGAGGCGAGGACTGCAAGAGGCCATCCGATCCAAAGTGTCACACTGTTGCATCTGTCTCGCAGAATAACGGCCAGGAATGGAAACGTCTGTTGCCCTACGTCAAGAAGTGTGCATTTGTATGGAAAGAAGAGGGCAAGGTCAAGGAGAAGAATCTCGTCTTCTGTGAGCAGTATACAAAGGAAGAGATGGGAAATCCGCTCGAGCTCATCACCAGCACCGATTGGTTCGCTCACAAGGATGTCAAGTTCAAGTCGGTTGTCGAGTTCGCGACCATGTCTGAGTTTATCGTCGTCGCAACGAAGGGAGATGATGGTAAATCTCTGAAACTAGACGCGAGTCTCGACGGACAGACATTCGCGGATGCGAAGTTCCCGCCCAAGCTTGTGGTGGACCACCAGACGGCGTACACAGTCCTCGACAGCTCGACACATGCGATATTCCTTCACGTTACTGTCAACCCACGTCGCGATCAAGAGTATGGCGCCCTCATCAAGAGTAACAGCAACGGCACATCCTACGTAATGAGCCTTCCCAATGTCAATCGAAACACCGATGGCTATGTCGACTTTGAGAAGATGCAGGGTATAGAGGGTGTTGCGCTTGCTAATGTGGTTGCCAATGTGGATGCCGTTAATGGCGGCTCCAAAAAGGAGAAAAGGACGCTGATCACCCATAACGACGGTGTGGATTGGCAGCCCCTTCAGGCTCCTGCCAAAGACTCGGAGAACAAACCTTACGACTGCGACGTCAGAGATAAGGACGTATGCTCTCTCCATGTTCATGGCTACACCGAGCGCGGCGATCCCAGGGAGACTTTCTCTTCGCCTACAGCTGTTGGCATCATGCTTGGTGTCGGCAACGTCGGCAGGTCCCTAGGCACATTTGGAGAGGCCTCGACGTTCATGACCACGGATGCCGGTGTCACCTGGAAGGAAGTGAAAAAGGGGAACTACGCCTGGGAATTCGGTGACCAAGGCTCCATCATTGTTCTCGTGCATCGTGGAAAAGATACCAAAGATCTGTATTACTCGCTCGACTCAGGCGAGACTTGGAATTCCTACCAATTCAACGAACATGCCATCCAGGTCGATGCCATATCGACAGTCCCGAGCGATACATCGCTGAACTTCCTACTCTGGGGTAGAGATGCTAGAGAACTCGTGACCATCAACGTTGATTTTTCTGGGCTGGAAGAGTTCCAGGAGAAGTGCGATTTGAAAGAAGAGGACGCGACGAGTGGCGACTACGACCTATGGAGCCCGCAGCATCCTATGCAAGGAGATCTCGATGACCCAGAGTGCTTGTTCGGACATGTGGCACAGTACCATCGCAAGAAGCGCGGGGTGAAGTGTAGGAACGGAGAAATCATCACGCATCTTCATAACATCGCCCGGAACTGCACCTGCACCCGGCGCGACTATGAGTGGTATGTCGCGCAACCTCGAGCAAGCCGATATCAGGCTAACAGTGACAGCGACTACAACTACGAGCGCCAACCAGGCGGCGAGTGCAAACTCATCCCCGGCCTCAACCCGCCCGACCCGCAAGAGGTCTGCAAAGAAAAGGGCGTCAAAGAATACTGGACTGTCACAGGCTACCGCAAAATCCCCATCTCGACCTGCGAAGGCAGAGAGATGGACCGGATTGAATCCAAACCCTGCCCCGGCTACGAAGAAGAGTACCGGAAGAAACACGGCATCTCCGGGTTTGGCATCTTCATGGCTGTCGTCATTCCCTTCGTTGCGGCGGGTGGTATCGGATACTACGTCTGGAGGAATTGGGATGGCAAGTTTGGCCGCATTCGCCTCGGCGAGACGTCGTATAGTGAGAGCCCCTGGGTCAGCTGGCCTGTGGCTGCGATTTCCGGGCTGGTGGCGCTCGTTGCGGCGATACCGCTTGTGGTGACCAGTGTCTGGAGGGCGGTGAGTAGCCGGTTTGGTGGCGGCTACGGGTATGTGGGTCAGAGGTATACATCTAGGAGCAGTTTTGCCAGGGGGAGGGGCAACTATGCGGTCGTGGATGAGGATGAGGGGGAGTTGCTCGGGGATGAAAGTGATGAGGATGTATGAGTGGGCAGGTGGCAGCATGATGGTGTACGATGGATGGGGTTGTATAGTAAGCAGTTTGGGCTTTCATGTACATGTGCTAGGGTGTGTGTATTGGCCTCATGCTACTTGCACGGGAGCGATAAGATGAGGAGTCTTGCGCTTGCTTTTCTTTGCAATAATGCATGGGATTCTTGGGATAGATCGCTCGAATTGAATTTCATTGTCTATCGTTCGTCGCTGTCCAAAGTCTAGTGATGTGGAAATTTATTAAGCACTGAGAGAACTACCGAACCGGTTCCACTAGGGTATCATTCTGCGATTGGAGAATGACTGTAAGCTCCAGTCAGGAACGGAACACAGACTCTGTAAAGATGATCTGTGAAAGAAAGCGCAGTTGCATCTATTCTGTGTAATCTGAAAGATGTTGGATTAGAGGCATTAGTTGTGGAGAAGCCTTTTGCTTCGTCGCTAATACCCGCCATCTCTTAAAGAAACCTCGTCTAGAGGCAAAGAGGGTTGAGGTGCTATCACAGCTCGTCCGAAACAGACAGTAAAAGAGAGAAAGGGCTATCGAGGTCGTCAAAATTCGTTGGAACGGCTCCTCAACTTTGGTTGGTGATTGGAGGCCTTACTGCCATGCCTAACTCTAGAGAGGGCTTGTACCTGAGTGGTTCTATCTTCTCTAGGAGAGGGCCTGGGAGGTCTTCGAAAATAGAGGGGTAATGGAGGTCAAAAATACAAAGAAGATTTGGAGCCCTTGCCATGAAGATGGCAAAGAAGTGTGTATATATATATATACAAAAAGAAAAATGAGAGGTCCTACCCGGAATCGAACCGGGGTTCCCGGAAATCGCTTCTGACAGGAAGATCAGAATCCGATGTGATGACCGCTACACTATAGAACCTGGGACTGCTGTTGTAACTTTATTTGGAAATTCACTAATATATAATTAAATATCTGCCTTCAAAGAAATATACCTCTGAAGGCCCAGTGAAGACCTCCTCAAAGGATCTTTTGGGCGTGGTGGAGTGGCCATTGGCCCAGAACCTCACAAGGCAGTTATTAGACACTGCAAAAAAGCTTGCGAAACCTGCTGGTCCGGCTCGAAACTCGACACCACATCTAGAACACAAACATCAATATGCTTGCCCATACATACCCCGATTAATTCTAGCTTGAGCGACATGACTACATAAGATGATCCAAACCGATCGAGCGTGTGTGAATTAACCCAAGGCGAACAATCACCCGTGCAAACTATGACCATTTTCCTTTCCCATGCTTCGCATACGTACGGACTACGCCCTCAGGGTTGGTATATCTGATGCTGCTCGTGCACGTTTTGCGTCAAGGTGATAGCTTGTTTCAAGCGCAGAGGCCCCCTTTTCCGTTCATGATTGGTGGCACAATGATTCCGCAGGGCCATGCGCGAACGAGTCTGTGTTACTGTGACTCTGTGAGGATATTGGTGACGAGATGATCAGGCAGACGATGTGACAGGTGGAGTGAGACTACTTGTTGGGCGAGGAGTAGGGGTTGGGGAGTCGGGACCGAGAGTAGGAGGAAGGATTGAGCAACGGCAAGGCAACGGCGAATGCAACGTACGCACGATTTGCGGCATAACCCGTTTGTTGTAGACGCACGAGTCTGATGTGCAGCAGAGTAGTGTTTTGGTGCCGTGTTGAGATGCTATTTTGTGAAGGTGTTGGTTGCGTTGCTCTTTGAGTCAGCAGGACATTCGGCAGGGCTGTGATTAACATGTTTGTTTCCGTTGCCCGTGAATGTCTGCTCACCGTAGGCATGGTTGTTTGTCTCAACAAGTGTTGTTTTTTCTGATATCAGGGTCCTAAAACGAAGGGAACGCATGGCAGCGGTGCAGTTCATCATTCGAAGCGGTTAGTATATCACCGCCTCATCTCTGGGCGTTTCTATGCGTAGACGGCGATGACACTGCCCGATTGCTGTGCCTTGGGGAAATGGCACGGAAAAGACTCCACGAAGCAGCATGTGCAAGCACACGCAGACAGCATTGGAGATAGCGGGGTGGTGTTGAGCGGAGGGGCTGTGCTGCCGGATCGCATTCTTTCCTCTCATCCTTCCACCTTCGAAGGTTCCCAGACTCCAACACAACCAATGTGGACTTGGGTTAAATGATGTTCCAACTACTCTGGCCCAGCGGAGCGGGATGACTGCGAAACCTGGAGGATCAAGGAGCTTTAAGCAACCATGTACGAACATGACTGCACGGGGTACAAGTGCGTCTTCCACCTTCTTGGCCCAATTGTCGTTTTGGACGTACTGTATGGAGAATCCGGGCACTCTCACAACTCGTTGAGGCTTCCTGAGGTGCTCATCCGTTGCAATACCCATTCTGCGCCTTGTACAAAGAAAGCAACCCAATCTACACAGTACGACGGGGAACACCCTTAATCTTGTCCTCGAAACTGGCTAGCAATTTTAGCCACACGTGAAGGACGAGGCCGAGTCCCAATCTGTTTCGGTTTCACAACGGCCGCGAAACCAAACGCGGACGCCAGCAAATGGAACAAAGCCAGATGCGGAGGAAGGGTACAAACAGGTCGCGACTGGACGCCAGCGCCTCTGTTTAACGAGTTGCATGAAGGGGCGCATCCAGGGCCCTTGCAAGTCCGTTCCAGTCGCAGTTGCTGGCGAGTTTATGCGGTCGTGGGTTCGATGGGTGAATTGCGGAAGCGCGGCTGGATCTTCTCTCCTTCAAAGAATTTCACTCACGGCGTGTCGCAGAAGTTGTCGCGTTTCAGGGTCCGCGACCAATCAGGGCCCGTGAACCGGCCAGCATCTGCTTCCCCTGCGGCTCTTCTTGCTCGCCTCTTGCCGAACCCTTTCACTGCTCTGATTGTGACCGGCGCCTGGCACCACTCCACGCACGCTTTTTGCCTCTTCAACTCCCTCAACAGCCGCCATGCCGGTCCACGTCTTGCGAGCCGCCCGGATTTGCAATGCCCAATTTCTCCCGGCGCCCCAATCGTGCCTGACAGCCTGCCACCTGCTGTGCACCCGCACCCCTCGCCACACACGTCCGCCGAGTTGATGCACTCCACCATCCGTGCGAGCGGAGCCTTTCTGATGAATTGGGCATGGTGCAGCGGGAGCTCGCCGGGTGCTAACGTGTTTCAGATGCCCACATTTCTTGACTGAGCATGGTGTTTGTGCTTCCCCAAGAGTACATCAGGCCCGCTGCCCTCATGCATTTCTACGGCACCTTCGCCTGCGTCCTTCTTCTCTCCATCGACCGCTGAGCTGTCTTTTCTTTCGACCCGGATTCATTCATTATTATTTAGATCTTGCCCGGGTCTACACAACATTCATTATTCACAGCTTCTTCGTCTTTTCAATTCTGCATTCTAGCCACTCCATCCGGCTGCACTTTCATCACCATCCTTCCCCTAACTCGTGCTGGCACGTTTCAACTCCTCGTGCAAGTCTAAGTCTTCACTTTGATACCTTAACCGAGTACTTTCTCGGTTATCATTGTTTGCGTTGATGTGAGTCTCTCGCCATCTCCTACCACATGTGAGCACGAGCATTGTTCACCTCTATACCCGCCCTTTGGTATTGGAGCATTGTGGAGTCATGTCCTGCACAATAGATACTGGGAGTTGGGTTTATATTTTCCTCTCTCCAATTCCCCCGTTTGTTCAAGAGAGCATACCGGAATTCTCCGCTATCTATTCGTTTGCTCCCTCTCCACTGGTGTAATCATTAACGGAAAGCAGCGCTTCCTGGTTTACATTCATCTCCCACCCAGACGGTCACTTCTTTAACTCGACCCTCGTCATTTTACTCTCCACTGCCAGACCCTTCTATTCAAAATGAGGACGAGCTTTGCAATCACCGGCCTATTGGCCACTTGGGCAACTTCCGTTGCCGCTTTCCCGCAGGTTCGCAAGGGTGTGGGCTTCATCAGCGCTGAAAGCAACAGCGCTGGTCACGACCCTAACGCTAACACGGAATATGTCGTTATCCGTGAAAAGGACAGCCTCAACGTCACGGAAGCAGAAATCTTCTCCCGCGTAGCTTTGAACGAATCCAACATCCTGCGCCGCATGGAGAACTCGGAGTTCGCTGCATACGTCCTGCGAGCCGGCAGCCACTGCGCCGATGCCCTCAACGCCATGTCTGAAATCGCCGCAGTAGAGGAGAAGATTGAAGTGCGTACATTCCTGCAGAAGACACGCACCCCATGGGGCCTCCAGGAGATCTCGAGTGACCAGGGTGCATCTGGCAACCCCCGAAGCCAGAGTTTCACCTACACCTTTGACAGCGAGACTCTGGGTGACGGTGTCGACATCTACGTTGTCGATACTGGCGTTCGCAGTACCCACGCAATATTCCAGGTTCCCGGTCCAGATGGCCAACCCACGAAAAGCCGTGTAACCCCCGGATTCTCCTTCCTTGATACTCCCAACCCGACGAATGATGGCGATGGTCATGGCACTCACTGTGCCGGAACTGCGGCAGGAACTCGGTTTGGTGTCGCGCAGAACGCAAACATCATTGCCGTCAAAGTCCTCGGGGATGATGGGAGTGGCTCCTCGGCTGACACCATCGAAGGGATGAGCTGGATCATCAACCGCCACAACCAACGCAAGACGGAGTCCAACTTCAAGGGATCGGTTATGAGCATGTCCTGGGGTCTGTCTTCTGTATCTCGTACCGTCGACCGTGTCGTCAGGGCCGCTTCTGATGCCGGTATCCATATCTCCGTCGCGGCTGGCAACGATGGGGCCGATGCTTGCCAAAACACTCCCGCCAGCAACGGTGGCCAGAACTCCGCGGTCGTCAGCGTCGGTGCCATGAACATCAACAACCAAATCGCTTCCTTCTCGAATATCGGAAAGTGCGTGGATATCTATGCACCCGGCGAGGACGTTCTCTCCTCCTGGATCGAGATCAACGGCCAGCCCTCTGATGAGGCTCTCAACTTCCTCGCTGGCACTTCGATGGCTTGCCCCCACGTCTCTGGTGTTATGGCCTACTTGCTCGGCTTGGAAGAGAACGCCAGCCTGCGCCAGGACCCCGCGGCTTTGAAGGCTCGTCTTCTCAGCCTGGGCCGCGAAAACACGCTTCGCGGCCAGACGGGCGGCAGCGCCAACCTGCTCCTCAGCAACGGAGCGAATGGAAGCCCCAACTCGACGCTGCAAGCGCGCGATGACCAGTTCCTGGACAAGCGCTTCAACTTCATTGTCGCCTCGGAGAAGACACAGCTCAGGTACTAAGCGTTTGATCGATTGATCCAGGTTCCACCACGGTCGTTTACAAGCGTTGGAACAGCATACGAGCATCATCCTCATCATCCTCATCCGTCATTTCCATAGCATTCTTGCATTTGTAGCTGGCCTTGGCGCGGGCCCAGTCTTGTTGCAAGACCCTTTTCTCCCTCCTTTCATCATTTGCATCTGGTCTGCTTCTTTACTCTCCTTAATCATCACACATGTTCTGGCATGTGCCGCTGCTGCGGTACTCTTTGGCCGAACGGTCCCCACAGACACACACGGTCCCCTTCAGTTGGATGCAGGCGAGGACCGACCGCTTTGAATGTGCATATAGATACAGACATTTGCATATACATGTATATATCCTGGAAAAGCCTCCAATGCTGCAGATTCCGGACAAGTATCATACACAAAAAAAGTATCTACAATCGTGTATTTCTTGTCATCTCGTGACGATTATTAGGGAAGCATGTCTTTGCTTCTGCTCTGCACGTTGCGCTTAGCTTTGCAAACCTCGCAATCATCTCACCGATCGTCCGAGACACTCAAACTCCCCGTCTAGACAAGCAAATCTCTTCCCAGTCGCTTGAAACCGGGACCCTCAAATTCTGCGACACGCCGTCGGTTGACGCGCGTACCATGTAGGGCTTTTTTCCACAGCACACACCCTGGTTCGCATTAACGTCGGAGGCGTCGTTGAGGCTTGGAGCGGCGATCATACTCCGTACATAGGGAGGATTTATGGTTCGTTTATGCGGAGGTGGGAGGTGGAGGTGGGAGGTGGAGGTGGGAGCGGAGGCAGGTGGACGCGGAGGCAGGTGGACGCGGGTACTTGCTGAATGGATCGGACTGTTTGTTGGAGGATTGGAGGGTTGGAGGGTTTGTGTGGGAGGTGTTTGGGTTTTCGAAAAGGTGTTTTGGAGGGGAGTGGTGCGTTGGATGGGGTGACGGATGGAGGGATGGATGGGTGAGGAGATGGTGATGAGGATGGGGATAGGATGGGGTTGACAAAATGGCCTTTGGTCGACGGGTTTTCTTGGCGGCGTGAATGATGAGGAAATAGTATTTATTATGAAGATTCCCGGAATCATAGAATGAGTCGTTGCGCGAGAAGCTGCGAACGTCAATAGTGGTCAAGATGTCCGCGCTGACGTCCACGCAAGCTTACAGCGATGTCTATCTGCGGACCGCTGATAGTTCTGTGGTTGGTGAAGTGTCGTTGACGGTGCGTGGCTTGCCAAGGGGAGGTTATTGATCCTGAAAGTGAAGCTAACGGTTGTGGCGTTGCGGGTGAGATTTTGGAGTAGCCGTGGAGTGGGACATGAAAGAGAAGACGAGGAGATGGGTGTGGGGTGGTGGATCTGAAATGCAGTGAATTGGGACGAGACACAGTTAGAAAGATATAGTCGTTTCAGTATGGTGGCATGGCTTCTATACCTTCGTACACAGTACATAAATCAATGGTGATAGCTGAGTCGATAAGGGTAATAGATATCTCGTCGTTGACGACGGTAAGCCAAGCTGCAGAAAACCCACTGACCACGCATTCGTCTGCATCAAGCTAAGAAAATGTCTCTATTGAGGAATCCGCACGTCAGATATGGGAGGATAATACCGTTTACCTGCTCCTGTAAATGCATCAAACGCCAACTATACCATGCTATGCCCACGAGCCGAAAAGCCCACCCATACCAAGCCATCTACAGCATCAGACGCTCAAAGCCGCCGGAGCAGCAACCTCCTGACCCACGACAGGAACCTGTTTCTCCAACTCCGGCATCCTCGCCCTCTTCGCCGCTCTCTCCTCCTCCCCGTGATTCTTCTCTTCCCCATTCTTCTTCTCTGCCTCCTTCCCTTCCCCCTCCTCCTCCTTATTCGCCTCTCTCACCCTCGCCCTCTTCGCCGCCCTCGACTCCTTCGGCGGAATTCCCAACCTCTCATCCACCCTCCTCGCCTGCTCCATCATCCCCTCAACCCCTTCCAACCCCAGCGCCTTGACACAATCCGCATAACACTTACTCCGATTCATATCCGCATAGCACTTTTCCCTCCCAGGAATCATCTGACCGAGGAGGTACTTTGTATTCCCCCACCGATTCTCCACCATCAGCGCAAACCTCATGTACTCCGTCACCACCGTCTTCCACTGCCCGCGCCACTCGTGCGGTCCGCCTTCCGCCTCGGGACGGAAACAGGAAGGATTCTTCTCGGCTTCGGTGGCGATCATGGCGCCATCGACGTCGTATTCTTTAATCAGTTGGAGAGCTTCGGAGCGAGATGTCACGTCCCCGTTCATCACACACGCGACCCCAGCCTCCCTGCACACCCGGCCTATCATGCGCAGCTGATCGCGAATGGCGCGTTCCCTGGGCCTCATGGGAGTCGTCCGACAATGCACGGTGAGTCCCGTGATACCCGTCGCTACCAGCTTCCTGACCAACGCCTCTGTATCCTCTGCCTTATCCAGGATGCGAATCTTGACGCTGATGCCAATCTCGTACACCTTGCCCACCTCCTCGACCAACCGCCTCAGGATATCGCACAGCAGGTCCGGCGTCTTGAGCAGTGCGGCGCCCATGCCGCCCGCCGTGGAGAACGGCTTCGGACACCCCGCATTCACGTCTATGCCCGCCACGTCCGCGGCTACCATTTTCGCCGCCTGGACGGCTAACTCTGGGTTCGCGGTGCCGACTTGGTAGATGAGGCGCCCGCGTTCGAGTTCCGGGTGGATGCGGTAGATGACGGATTCGCGGTTTTCAGGGTCCAGCGCGGGATTCTTGAGTTTAGAGGTCGGTAGGCGCGTCCACTCGAGAGTCTGCGTGTGCGGGTTCAGGCGGCGGGTTGTGCCTATGATGGCGCGGTCGATGGTTTCGGGGCCTAGCAATTCACAAGTCAATACGGATCTTTCAGACGGTACCCGAGATCTCCTAGGGGCCAACTTCGCGACAACTAAGAGAGGAAAAGCATGGCGTACCCCATACCAAATCGGCGCCATACTTCAGCGCCAGCAGCCGCGAGGGTAATTCTCCTGACCGCACCATCGGCGCAAGGACGACCTTGCCACGGTAGTCGACGCCATTCTTCGGGATGGGAACGCGTGGCGGTGCGGAAGAGGCCATGGCTCGTGTGACGGATTGCAGGAGGGTGCGCAGCATCCCCTGCTGAGGGAGAATGTGTGATGGGAGGACAAGATGGGCGAAGAAAGTGTTCCGGATGTTGTTATGAGTGGAGTGGGTGTGAATTTCTGCCAGGTGTGACCGCCTTGGGGTGGGATTTGCGGGCGGGTGGTGGAGACGGAGTGGCTGACCACAGGGGTTATACCATATTGGGCGATATGGGACTTCGAATGCCGAACTCCAATCCTGGAGAAATTCCATCTAGCAATCATACCAACATACTATTTTGCGTAGTGGCTATAAACATATATACACATAGCAAAAGGGGCACCCTGCGAGAGTACATCGGCCCAAACACCAAGTGTTCTTCGAAAACGCCACTATATATACCAAATGCCCACATGAGAACCCTTTCCGACCCGGGCCAAACCACCCACAACGCCGTCTATATGCACAGAATGCGCGCACTGAAACCTAAAACCCAACTCCTCGCTATGCATACAATGAACTCTCTATTATCAAACACATGCCACGCTCCCAACCTACAGCTCATCCCTGCTAGGAATCTTAATCTCCCAACTCCGACCGGGAACAGCGAGACCAATCCAGTAATTCCAAAGGCGGTACATTTCGAAAAGCAGGATCTTTGAACTACCAAGAAGAGTCAGCATATCGCATAAACAGTTGCAAAATGTGGTTGCCTGGAGACATACAATTTCCTCGGCAACTCCCACCAACTCTTCAGAACGTGCAAATACACCCTCGTCACGAGATTTAACTCCGCCCAGAATTCGTCCATGATGGTCATATTGGTGGAGTCCCAGTCGCGCCTGAAGTCCGGCGCGTCGTCTGTTGGGCTCTCTGGCTCCTCCTTCTCATTGGAGAGACGCCGCGTCTCCTCCTCTGCCTCCGATGGTGCGGAGACCGGACTAGAGGCTCCATCGCGTTCGTCTACCATGCGTCTAAACTCCTTGATGGCATGCAGCGAGTGCGAAAGCCGATCCATAGTATTCAACAAAGCAACGAGTTCCGTCCGGCGCAGAGGTGGATCTTTGCTCGAATCGTTCTCGTCGAATTCGAAAAGCACTTTGAGCGCCGTGCCGTAGCCGTTCGTCTGCAGTTTACCCCAAAGCCGACACTTGTCGCAGCCCACGCAATCCATGATGCGACTCACGTTCCTGAATTTATTGCGAAACTCTTCTTTCAGAGCAATCGAGGCAGGATCCCGGAACATGACCGTTTCGTCGAAGATCTCGGGGCCGGAGGGGATGGAGGAGGCGAGGCGAAGGACCATGTTCTTCGTACGTTGGTCTTGCTCCGGGTCTTCGGAGCAGAACGAGTAGTCCTCTATATGGCGCTTGATCTTACCAACGGCGCGCATGATGAGGGCGTAATTAAAGTAGATATTGGACACGCGGTCAGGAAAGTTGTGCAGACGTTGTTCGTAACAGGTGAGGTTCGGGTGCCATTGCCCCGTCTTCTGGTCGAGGTATTCCCAGCACAGATGCGTAGATATCGAAGCATGCATGCCGGAGATGACGCGGTGGAAGACGCGCTTTTCCAAACACGTATCGTCAAATTCGACGGGATCCAGCTGTGACGCAGGCACAGCCGTACCGTGCGCAATAGCCGACTGGATATTTTGCTGCACGCCCTGCTGCTTCATGACGTTCCTGAGCTGGCTCGCCGCAAGCCACTGCTCCTGACTGCCAAACGGCGACATCTGCGGCGTGGACGACGGCTCATTTTTCGGCGGCTTGCTGAAGCAGTTTTCCCGATAGATTGCCTGCCAAACCTGCTGCGGTCCGGCGCCCGCATATCCCGTGAACCTTTCTGGGTTATCCACCAGCGAGACATAGTCGCCCTTCGCCGTGGCGGTCTCATCTTCCGGGATGCAGTAGTCGCGCTCATCGCACTCATCATCGTACTCCACGACGCAGCTCTCGCCGACGTTTTCTCCCAAACTACCCTGCAAGGGCCGTTGCTTATGTTCCCTCTGTTGTTTCTTACCCGGGTGCTGCGCTGTGGGTCCCTCCAACTTCCCCAGCTCTTTCGCCCGCCATACAAGCGGGATGTCCTCTTCGTTCTCCAGTGTGTTCACCGCACACGCCACATTCCCACACATGCCATTCTCGTCGCTCCAAAAGGGGCACTTTTTGTTGTATAGGTTTAACCGGTAATGCGAGAAGAAATCCGTGTTTTGTGTAATCGAATGCAGATAGGGGTGAATAGCTTCATTTAGCTGCTCGAGGGTGCTGTAACTCGCACAGGCGTCGGATACAATTGCCCCGGGTTCAAACTGTACAGTATGTTTAGGACTCTGGTTCTGAGGAATAGAAGGAAGTGCACTCGGGGCGCAGGAGGTCGTTGACCCGTTGCTTACTTCGCAGACGTTGGAAGGCGAGGGCTTCGTCTTTGCAGCAGACGGAGCATGGCTCGCGGCATGTGAAGTACCCAACAGTGAGAAAACTGCCAGATAGAACACTTGCGCTGCTGTCCTCATCGTCTACGTGCCGTAGTCTGTAAGCAATCCGAGTCAGTTACGAGTCCTTTTCGATGTCCTGAGAGTCCAATCGGTGGGGAATCCTGAAACTTACAGTCTGATGAGGTGCAGTATACTCTATATAACAAGGCGCACGAGCCTTCAAAGTGTTGGTAATCAAGTAATCAAGGCAGAGGCTCCAGGGCTTGAAGAGGCCAGATTGAATCTTGGTAAGAAAGAGCGTTCCTGTCACCAAACAAGGGTGTGGCGCAGGCGAGTCTTATTCAGAGCTAAACTGGGATTGGCCGCGATAAATGAAAGACAAGAAGTAGGGTTGCGGGGACGGTGGAAAGGTGGGTCAATTAGACTGTTGTACGAAGCATGGGAGAGTAAAGAGAGATCAATTTATTATATAATTATGAATAGAAATCACCGGCACCTGCATCACGCCGCCGTCACCCGATGTGATGCACCGACCGTTAAAAGGTGTCCTCAAAGTGTGGCGGTGTTTCCCGCGTCGCCGCACGTGTGATCCCTGTCGCTTGTGGCGTCGAGGGACATTCACTTCATCCCTCGGCAAAGGGCTGAGAGTACTGTTAGACTACCTCTAGCATTGAGTTACTTGTATCCAGATCTTGCATCTTGTACCACAATCATCTTCCGAAACCCAGAAAACTATCATAATCTACAATGTCCGCCCAATCCAACTGGTACGACGCCTTCCCCGCACCCCGGTCCACCGCACCCCTCCTCTCCCGCTCAGACGCACTATCCTCCCTCTCGTCCCCAGACCTGCTCCTTGTCGATGTCCGCAGGACAGACTTTGAAGGCGGCACTATTAGAGGAAGTCTCAATCTTCCCGCCCATAGCTTCTACATGAATCGAGGGGTGTTGTACGATCTATGCAAAAGGGCGGGCGTGAAGACGGTGGCATTCTACTGCGGTGGGTTACGAGTTATATTGTTATTCCTCATTATACTAGACAGATATAACAGTTGTTTTGCTCTGTGTAACTGTCCTTTACTAATTTTGTCCTATACAGGATCCAGCAACGGCCGCGGTCCCCGTTGCTCAGGCTGGTTCGCCGATTACTTAGCCGAACAGGGGGACACGGAGATGCAGGCGCTGACGCTAGAAGGGGGAATCAAGGGATGGGTCAAGGCCGGGAAGGAGTATACAGATCATGTGGATGGCTATGACGCTGAGTACTGGAAACAGTTTGACTAGATATATTCATGTATAAGTGCGGGACGGGACTGGGATGTATATTGAGCGTACGGGTCTGCTTTACAATCAAATATCCAGAACGTCGTTTCCAAAGAGGCTCATGGCCATGAGCAGTCATTCGTCGTCGTCATCGTCATCATCAATTACCCTTCTGACCCTCTTTGTTGGGGGCAAAACTCGTCCATCATCCTCCTGGTCCTCATCCGAATCGACAGTGTAGCCAATCCTTTGGTTCAATCCAATCATCTTCTTTCCCCTTGCAGGCGTCTCATCTTCACTGTCGCTGCTCATCACCACATCCACATCCGTCGGATCACTCGTGAATATCTTCTCCATTCTCCTCGGCTTCTTCGACTTGGCGGCTTGTACAACAGCCTGCGTCCCCTTCCCAGGGCCAAAATTCAGGCTAGGTAGACTGGACTCAGGTGCATCTACCTCCTCATCGTCATCGGCGATGAAGCTCCGGAGAAAGGAGTCATTTAGGTACGCTTGAGTGTCTTCAACATCCTCCTCCCCCGAAGTGTCATGGGAGCCGAGGTCAATGGCCTGAGAGGCAAGACGCATACGGGGGTCCGTTGGTGGCGGCGAAGAAGACGCGCCCTCTTCCACCAGCTCAGATATTTGATATGCAGACGTATTACGAGAAGGCTTCCCTCTTTGCCGACGCGTTGGGGTTGCCGACTCAGGCAATGATTTCGTGGCTCTACCACGTGGAGCCGGTGCTCTTGGGGATGCCGGCAGTTTGCTGGCAGTCGTCTTTTTCGGCTTCCTACCCGCTGCGGGCTTCGTTTTCGGCGGAGCTTTACTAACTGGCTGAGAAGGCGGATCGTCAGACGCCCACATATCATCATCTACGGCCATGGCCTCTGCGGTAGTGGAAGCAGTATCGGATATCACAGCGCTAGGTCCCAGCTCGTCCTCAAAGTCGGAGAGATGCACATCAGGTCGTACCAGTGATTCCAGTGTCCTGTCATCCATTGCATGCATACGTTGCAGGGTCTCCACAAACGACTTTCTCATGCGTCCTGGCTTGCGGAACAGTTTTGGCCGTGATAGCACTCGTTGCCGTGCAGGATATCGATCCAGCTGGAGAGGACCCACAACTGGTGCGTCGTCATCATCGTACACGGTCTGAAATCTCTGCTCCAGATCCTTCATCCCCTTCTCATCTAGCAGAACGGTCTCCAGCGGCACGGCCTCGTAGATCTCTTCACTAGGATAAACCGGATCCGCCTTCTTCTTTCCCCTAGATTTCGGCGCAATCTCCTCATCCATTCGGTTCGCCTTCACAAAACCTGTAATTACACCGTCCGGCATATGGAACTTCTTCGGCGGTCGTTTTGGCGCTCTCCCATTCTTCTTCTTAGGTAGAGGTTCCCAATCAGACTGCGAATTCTCCAGCGGAATCTCAACGGCGCGCTTATCAACCACGGGCTGGATATGGGCGGGGACTATGCGCTTGGACAGTTCCTCGTGGAAGGTAAACTGTGAGCCATTGGCTATCAACTCCTGCATCCTTTCGTAGCTGTCCTTGGCTTTCTCGAAGTCCCGCTCTTCTTTACCCTCCATTTGCAATAAGACAATTCTGCCCTGTCTTTTACGTCCCGTTCTGCCCATGCGCTGCAACATACGAAGTGGTGACGCTTTCGAGTCATAGCAGACAATCAGATCGACTTCGCCGATGTCGAGACCTTCTTCACCAATAGATGTAGCAACAAGCGTGTTGTATACGCCTGATTGGAACTTATTGATCATCTCCAACTGGTCCTTCTGTGCCATGCCTTCTGAGTTCTTCGCGCTGGCCTGACCCACGAAGACATGCGGTCGAATCATGGGTTGATGCTTCTTAAGGACTCTTACGATCTCCTCTGCGCTATCGCGCCAGTGTGCGAAGACCATGACACGAGTCTGAGATGGAGGCGCCCCTTCAGCATGGCGACCTTCGCCGGCCTCTAGAAAATGATCAAGAATGACTTGCTGCAGATAATCCAGCTTTGGATGGCCAACGAAATCGCTGCTCGAAGTCCACTGTTGCAACCTGTTCATGAGCTTTTTGAACTCATCACTGTTCGCTATCTCTTTCTTCATCTTCGAATTACTCTTTATTGCATCGTCGCGAAACTCCTTCATCTTGGTGTAGAACGGCACAATAGAGTGGTATTTTAGCATCTCCATGCCGTGCGAAATCGAAGCCAGAATTGCAAAAGCACTGTTAACCTGGCTCTTCTCCGGCCATGATACATTCCTTCCCGGCCCTGCCATCCACTTCTGCCGAGCCTGGGTGCAGCCATAAGGTGTCAGATCCAGCGGGTCACTGCTCCAAAAGGCATGCTTTGCAGCCAACATTTTGACAGGTTTCGAAAGGGCGGCAGAATACAACTCCATGCACATCTCCATCTCTTCGCTATTCTTGAAGATCTTCTTCTCCACATTGCGCTGATGGACATACTCCTTGAGGTCGAGAGACTTTTCAGTACGAATCTCGATCCTGGAAATCTTCAATCCGTCGATCACCTTCTGCACAGATTCGACATCTGAACCTGGAGTGGCCGTGAGAGCAAGCACGCGAAAACTCTTGTTGAAGCGATGTAGGAAGTTTGCCACTTCAACGTAGGCATACGAGCCTGTAGCTCTGTGCGCTTCGTCTACAACTAGGAGGACGATCTTCTTTGGATCCGCGATGCCCGATTTGAGATCTAGCAGCATGGTTTGGGGAGTCATAAAGAAGACTCTCTTGCTCTTCCATTCCTCAGCCCTGAGGCCTGGCGCAACTCCGCCCATCAGCATGGTGGTTTGCGACCGGGGGATTCCAGCAATCTTGAAGCACGCGTCAACCTGTTGCGCCACTAGTGGCCTCGTGGGAGCAACAAAGACAATCTGGGCTTCTGTTGTCCAGCGAAACCAATTGAGCATGATGGTAGCCGCAATGAACGTCTTTCCCAACCCAGTTGGTAGCGCAACAAGAGTGTTGTGGTAGAGTCCCCTGGCAACAATATTGAACTGGTAATCACGGAGGACTCCTAGATTTGTTGGATAGACCCATGTCTTCATCGCTTCAAGATCCAATTTATGGTGCGTCGGCTCCTCTTCCCTCTGAACAGCGACATAGTTGTAGCGGTTACGGGTTTGTGAAGGGGTAAAGTCAACATTTCCTGCTATCTGGCCGTATAAGGTGGTTTGACGGAGATTAGTCTGCGGGGCAACAAGTCTCCTACGGGACTCGGATACGAGGACAACATCATCGTCCTGTTTCTGTGGTGAGGAAGGTGAGGAAGCAAAAGCATCCGAAGGCAGATCTGCTAGATCGTCGACCGGATCATACTCCTCTATAGTATTTTCTGCTGCTTGCGGTTCGGACGGTGACTCAGCATCTTCTATCGGCGACACGGGGAGTTCATCTTCGGCCGACTGACGAGGCGACGGCCTCGACACGATAGACTGCCTCCCAGGGAGAGCCATGGTCTTCATAGTATCCAGACCTGTCCACTTCTCCGGTTTCGACGGCCTATCATTCACGCCCGGCCGATGCACACCAATATTCAGCGTCGGCTTCTGCCATATGGCTCCTCTCGGCTTCCATGGCGGCGAGTGTTCTTGCGGAGGTTGCGTGTAGAACACATCAGTCAGGTCTATCGCCGTGGTAGGCATGTGTATGCGGTCCCGTTTCTTTTGAATGTACTTGCTGATTCCATCCTCAGCTCCCGGAGTCCCATTCTCTTTGCCTCTGGATTTGGAACGAGAACGGCTGCTGAATTTGGAGGGGCTGTGAGAGGGTTGTTTCTTGAGGGGGCTGTGAGAATGTTCCCTGTTGTCTCGACTTGTTTCGGACTCTGGGGAGAAAGTGGAGTGAACATCATCGTCCTCTTCCTCAGAGTCTGGTATCGGACTGTTCCTGTTGTTGTGTTGTCTTGGCGGAATGGAAGTACCCTGGTGGCTAATCTTTTGCCGCTTCGCTGGGCGTGGTGAAGGTGGGAATGCCGTCTGCTCCGCCTGTGTCGCCGCCTCTATAAAGGCCGAGTCGTCCAAATCGCCATACTCATCACTGTCATCCATTGTCCTTCCCACCCTCCAGCGGGCGACGCGAAAAGTGGTGACGAGACACAATGGCCTGATGGAGTGTCGTTGGGCGTCGCGTCTGTGAATACAGTTAAACTGCACCATCGCTAGTAGTCGGCTGCACCTCGGGCCGAGCAAATCTGACCAAGCGTCCGTGCGGAGGTCCGTGCGTAAAACTTTTCTGTAGTTTTGTATACTCCTTCAATTACGTACTTATCTCTATACCCCCTATACTACATGTTATTTTTGCTCTAATTCTTCTCTATCTGCTATAAATTATAATTCTTTGCTACCTAGACCCTTTATAAATACAATCTAAAGCCTTATAAGTATACTCTATGCCCCTTTTTTTAAGAATAAGGAGTTATATCCTTAGTAGGTGTATCAGATGGTAAGCCAGTTTATGGACATCCCATCTGGGACTGGAGAGGAGGACTGGGAGAATATGTCTGTACCGGTACTGTCTAAGGATATGTGGCTAGTGATTCTGCAGTGGCTAGTGCTCTGCGCAGCCTTGGTGCCCAGAGAAGGAACATCAAAACCGGTATCAGGCCTCAGCCTCATACACACAGGTATACACCAGAATACAATCAGTCAACCCATCTTCATTCAATCTTTCCATCACCGTGACATCTTCAGATACCATCAAATCTGATAATTAAGAGTCTCACTGCCTTTACCAACATGTCTGCCAATACTATCAACAACCAAACTCAAGCCACTCTGGCTACCAGCAAGGACTAGACCTCCTGGTTCACTCAACTACAATCCAAGGCAGATGTATCGGATATCTGGGACATGATTGATCCTGATAGATTCAAGGAGTTCATGGAAAGATCTACTGCTCCACTCAAGCCTCAAGTCTCAGACTATGAACCTGCACTCCTAGCTATCTTTACTATTGAGACTGCTTCTTCTAATACCATGAGTACCAGAAGCCGCATCCAACAATCCATCCAAGCTACCTCTATGAATGATGAAATAATCGACCATGTTCTACCCAGGTTCCTATCAGATCTATCAACTTCAGGCCTCAAGGCATACAAGGATGACTTGGAAAACTAGAAGATAGAGATAGAAGCATACAAGGAAGAATGGAGGGAGTGGGAGAGAGAACAAGCAAGTCACAAAGATTTGGTCAAACACATCCAATCCACTGTCTCCAAGCATCTGCAGAAGACATGTTGCCACTTTGGTACTCAACTGAGAGAGCAAATCAGACTCCTCAGAACCACTATTGGAATTGAGGATGATGTGGAAAGAGACAAGGCCAGGGACCATTATTTGGCAGCTCTGAGACCTATGAGATATGCCACCTCATAGAAAAATTAGCTTGTAGAGTATGATGAGGCTGCCACTGAAGCTGAAGCTGAAGGGGTCTCTGAAACTCTAAGAATTCATGATATAGTCAAGGACTTCCTGACTGCAGTACAGAAAGTTGCACCAATCTGGACATCACAGTTCAGAAGAGAACTCCAGAATCTGAGGATGTCTAGGAGACAAATGATGAAAGAGTTTAAGATGTACATGGAAGCTGAATACCCAGTTAAGAACAAAAGCCACAGGGGGGCATTCTTCACTGGTGACATCTCACCTGCCTCTTCTGAGCATGGTGTGCCCATCCTGGGCAGCAGACAGGATGCTGTTTATGCTGCTGATACTCCACATCAAGGTGAAGAAGGGGAAGACCCTGAAACCATAGTGAAAAAGGGGAAGACCCTGAAGCCAAAGTCCTTTGGGAGACTGAAGAGGTACCAAGGGCACAGAGTTGGTAAAGAAAGACAAAGTCTTGAAGCCATACTCAAGCAGCTCAAACATGGAAGACATGGAGTACCAGTAGCAGCTAGGGGCAGATGCTCTACTTGTGATCTACCCCATTCACTCAAGGATTGCTCCTATGCATTTCCAGAGAAAGCTTCTGTGGGCTTCAATCCCAGACCTTGGATAGCTAAGATGGTGCAACTGGCACTTTCATCTGATACTGATCTACAAGGAATGGTAAGAGGACTAAAGAATGCCAGGTCTTCTAAGATACCTAGGTTCAGAGAGGAACAAACACCTAAACCTGAGATATGGAAGGAATGACTTGAAGACTGGAAGATATCAGCAATCAATGCTGCATTTGTGATAGTATCATTCAGAGCAGAGTTCTCTGACTACCCATTGAGACACTGTTTCATCTTGGACTCAGGTTCTACTTGTCATATCACAAATGACAGAGGACAACTCCAGTGTATCCATGATCCAATGCCAGGTGACTGCATCTGGGCTGGCAACTCAAAGGTATGGATCCAAGGCTATGGTTCACTGATCCTTCACCTCACAGGACCCAATGGGCCTACCAAACTTCACTTCACCAATGTGGCCCTGTGCCCAGATATCATGTGTAATCTGGTCTCATTCAGGCAACTCAGACTGCAAGGAATATGGTGGGACAACAAGAGTAATCCTACTCTCCTCAGGCTCATAGACAATACTCTAATCACCTACCTCAAGGACAGATACAATTAATGGGTCATCCAGTACCATGATCCATCCTAATCTACCTTCCACAATCAAAGGATCAAGTCTAGGATCAAGAGATCACCACAGAAAGCAGATGCTATATTGTGGCATAAGAGATTAGGATACCCAGGACCATCAGCAGTGGAACACCTTATCCAGCAAGCTGAGGGGGTGAAGATCAAAGGAATCACCATTGTTCAGTGCAATGCTTGTGGAAGAGCTAAAGGCAAGAGGAGAATCAGGAGAATCCCAAGAGTCAATGATGAAGGACCAGGAGAGAGACTTGCTGTGGACTTTCATGACTATGAGGAAGGAAGCATCACCAAGGAGAAGAGTCAAATGCTGGTCATCTGCAGGAACTCAAGATACTCATGGGACTTCTACTTCAAAGACAACAGGCCAGCTAAGTCAATCATCAAGGAGCTGGGAATCCTCATCTCATTGTTCAAGAAGCAATTCAATATCATAGTCAAGGTCATTGAGACAGATAATGAGATTGTCACAGTCAAGCAAGAGGTGTACCAGTGGCTGTTGGGATTGGGAATCAAGGTTGAACCATCTACTCCAGACACACAGGCTCAGAATGGAGGAGCAGAGAGACCAGGGAGATCAGTGAAGGAAAAGTCAAGAGCAATCAGGTTGGATGCCAATCTACCCTTCAACCTTTGGCTAGAGATAGTCAGGGCAGCTGTCTATCTCCTCAATAGGACTCCACTCTACTTCAATGGATAGAAAACCTCATATGAGAAGTTCTTCACACCAGTGGCTCTCCAACATAGAATCTTAACTCTGTCCAGGAAGCCAGACCTCTCTCACCTCAAGGCCTATAGATGCAAGGCATTTGCCCTCTCTGATGATACCCACAGAGGAAAATCAAGACTGCAGAGGCTAGATCCCAAGTCATGGATTGGATACTTGGTTGGGTACCAGTTCTCCAATATCTTCAGGATCTAGATACCAACTCTGGGAAAGGTCATCAGTACCAGAGATGTTGTGTTTGATGAGCACACTATGTTCAATGGCAAGGAAGAAGAAATCATGGACAACCTTATACACAGTACCACTGAGGAGATTGCTAGATAGGTGAAGAGTGTGGAACTTCCATCTCTCCCATCAGGTGAACAAAAGACCCAGTCATTCTATGAGGATGAAACCATTGAAGATGCTCCTCAGGACAACCAAGAAGAACCAGACCAACCAGGGTACCACCAAGGAAGAAAGATCATAGGTCCTTATTCTACTCCACCTAATATACCACCATCTATGACACTCTTGGCCCAACTTCTCTCAGGACCTGATGAACAGGATCTATCACTCCAAGATACTGGTATAGCTAAAATGGTACCATGGTATGCTGCATTTTTGGCTAGAACACAAGCAGGAAATGTTGGATCCTATGAAAGGAAGCCAATTGACAAAGCATACTTGAAGAGGTTGCTAGCTCAAGGGGTGAAACTACACAGGAACTAACTACTACATCCACCCAAGCATCATTGGTAACTCAAGGACCATGAACTCAGGGAATAATTTGAGGAAGCTGAGAGAGCACATCTCAGATCCCATATTCCTACACAATCCTGGATTGAAGTCTTAGACAAAGGAGTGAAGGATGCTGATCACCAAATCCTGGACTGCATGTGGGTGTATGTGTACAAGTTTGACAAACACCACAGACTAGATAAATGCAAGGCCCACCTGGTCGTAAGAGGAGATCAATAGAGGAACATCACATCTCAAGACATATATGCTGCAACCTTAGCAAGGAGATCCTTCAGGATGATGATGGCCATTGCAGCACACTTTGACCTGGAACTCAAGCAATATGATGTTACCAATGCCTTTGTGCATGCATCCATGGACAGAGAAGTCTACATACAGATGCTCCCAGGATATAGGAAGCTAGGAATACTCCTCAGACTCAACAAGGCCTTGTATGGACTTAGGATTTCTCCCCTGCTGTGGCAAAGGGAATTGACAAAGACACTGGTAGAAATGGGATTCC